TCTGAACATTGAACACATGAACAGAACTAAGAAATACAGTATTAGAAAAATCTATCAGTGAATCCATGGAAAGTACTACCTAATGTTTCCTCAGTGCGGAAATAATTGTTAGGCTGTTTAATATCTTTTATGCATTTAACCAAGAAACCATTCCTTTAATGCAGTAGTAACACCAAGATTGTGAAAAAGCGCAAGAGAGAGCTACATTGTTGTGGCATTTGATGTCGTAGTGTAGCTATGAGCTGAGTGCTGAAGGAATGTGTTGAGAATTTATGGAACCTCTCGAAACTTACCTGCTGTGGAGACAATTTTTCTATCTTTTTTTTTTTTTCCTGATAGTTTCAACATAGATGCAGGAAAGCATATATAGATTTCAACTCATCCATGTGCAATTATTTTTGGAGATGTCTATGTTGATGCGTTAGTTACATGCAAATCTGAAACAAAAATTTGATAATTAAGGAGCTGTAGAGCAATTATGTATTTGACACAGGGCCAGAGGCTGTAATTAAAAGAAGAGCACCAGAGGCCATTAATTTCTGAATTAGACAAGATCTTTCTGCTTATAGTTTGTGACTGTAATATTTTCCTGTTTGACTCCTTGACTTGGAGTTTTTTTTTAGCTACATGAAATTTCGGATGCTGCCTCTTGGCAACCATTGAAAGTTTTGTATTGCCTGGGCTTGCTGCAAAATCATGGTCCTTTTCTGTGACTGAGATGGCTAAAATTAATGTATATCATGTTGTTCTTTTCCTCCTTTTTATCTCTTGGATTTTTTCTTTCTAATTGCTTTTGAATCATTGAGGAGTGGTGGCAGCATATTTCTCTCTTACACTTTCTTAGTTGCTGAGTTTTGAGTTCTCTTTACAAATTGTAGATACATGGAGATGTTGGGTTCTCTTTTCAAATTTAGTGTGTGCTAAGGATCATTAGTAGATGCCGTGACCAGTTAATGTACTTTTGTGTTAGTTGAGAAGAATTCATCTTGATTTATGGTTCTCTAGAGATCTATGTATTTTCCAGCAGTTCACTGTTGACAATGATTGTGTTCGCATCTAGTCAAATCAAGATAGAGATATACTCTGAGCTTCTTCCACCTTTCCCCTCCTGCAACAAGCCAAGGATGTGCACTTTTTTGTTTTTTGGTGGATTTTTTGTGGGTTTTCCCTTTTTTTGTTTGGGGGGGGGGGGTGGTGGTGTACTTGTCTTATGTCATGAGGAGTTGATGCAAGTGCTGTACCCTTGTGCATTTTTTGATGATAAAAGAATGATGCACCTCAAATGATCAAGTTGAGATGACATTACTAAGAGGCCTGTGTCTCATGTATACATAAGAGCTGCGTACCTGTTGGACTGAATGAGTTTGATTTAGCTTTTGTGGGACTATAACCTAATGTAGTGATGTAGCTGTGCTTCTGTTTCACAAGTTAAGACTTTTCAGTGAGAATATCGGAAGACGAGATTAAAAAAATGCATAGAAAACATTTAGAAATTAGGCAATATATGAAAGAATATGTCAGGTTTAGAGTGTGTATGACACAAATGGAAAACAGTTAGAGCATGTAAGGAACTTCATTCCTCATTTAGCAGTTACAAGCATATGAGAGGAGGAAAAATTAGGCAAAGTGTGGTGCACAACAACTACTGCTAAAAATGTGTAATCCTAATATCAAGCTAACTGGAGAAACTGCATTGAGATGTCATCCTTGAGGAGTTGAGAAAAGGATTTTGGATATGTTATTTAAACAAGTATATCCAGATAAATGAGATTTTATTATTGGTCTTGGCAATGGCGGAGTCATGACCCGAGGGTTAGGGGTCAATCTCCAGCAGCATATGGAATGTAGCAATTATGAGTTAAAGTCAATGAAAGTCCACGTAAAACAAATATTTTTTCCCTATGAAAAATATGTTGTCGCATTTAAATTGTGCTCAAATGAAGGGTAACAATTATGAAATTTTTAATTATTTTGTTTTTAGGGGAAGGGGCAAATGCATTAGAAAGAGAGAATTTTATAGATTTTAGGGGGCAATGCACTTAGGAAAGAGAATTCTATAGAATTTAGAAAAAAGGAGAGAGAGAGAGGGGGGGGGGTGGGAGGAGATGGCAAACAATTTTAAAAATTTCTAAACTTGCAAGCCTAAAAACAATTTTCACAAAGTTGAGGGGTGCCAATTGCCCACTCTCAACAATGCGTGGCTCTTGGCCTATTTACATCTACAATGAATGTCTTTTACTCCTTCAGAAGAGGGAAAAGAAGTGCAACCAGAATAGTGCTGCTCTCATATTTCTCATGCATCTCTAAGCTCTACCCCATTTTGAATCTTCACTGCATGATATTATATTGTAGCAGTGTTATAGATATATGATTCTATTGTCTAGCGTCAGTTATTCAGTGTATCTGCTTATGTAACTATGGACTTCTATCTCTGAGAAGTAAAGCTTTCTGTAATCTAGGCCAGTCTTACAATAATTTTATCGTGGATGTTGAGTGGTCGCTTTATGTGATACAGTTTTGAGTGATCCTGTCAAACGTCAAGAATATGATCAGAACGGAATGCTACGTGCCTATGACTACAACATAGTAGTAAGTATCTGAATTTTGTTTTTGAGGTTTTTTCTTGTTCTGATATATGTTCAATTTATTCCGTGCTTATTCTTTACTCGAAATGAATGCAGGAGTATCTTAATCGTTACAAGGGTCTGATTTTGACATGCAATGGGCTTGGCATGGAGTGTTCAATGTGGTGAAACTGAATACAGTAATATGCATAGAGATGCATCAGGCGATCCTTTTTAATCCAGCAGGATGCCAGTGGGGTTGCTGAAGGCCTGCTGTTGGATGTTGCTGCTTACACCAACTAGGATGATTGAATATCTTGTTCTCTTATGTACAGATTCCTTCAGAATCTTTCATGCCTTTGGTGGTTCTGGTGCAAAGTTTCAGTGGCCCTGTAACTGCAAAGATATTGCGGTGTATTATAAATATCAATATACTTGGCTGGCTGATTGAAAATGAAAAATGGGGCATATTTGGTCTCTCATTTTTGCCAGCCTGATGATTGCCTTGTCTGAAAATATTGTTCAGAAAAATCTTTTGAATTAACTTTGCCAAGAGCTGTTGCTTAATTATAATCCCTCCTCCAACACCACCAACACACCACCACCCCTCCCCTCCCAACCCCAGCACAAAAAAGAAGAGAGAAAAGAGAGAAGGAGAAAAAAAGGTGAACAAGCTTTGTCAATTATCGGGGACAGCATATATGATGGGGAGTTGAGGTTAGAGAGTTGAAAATGAATCAAATTATTTGATATTCAAATCGAATTCGGCTTGGTAACAGTCCGTTCGAGTCTAGTTCACCAGCTAGTCAAGTCAAACTTGAACAGCGCTTTATGTTTAATAACATTCAAGTTTGATAAAAAAAAGTCGTTCAAGTTCGATTCAACAAATAAACAAACTAAAATTAAACAAAATTTTAAACTCGTTAAAATAACCAAACAAACTTGAACACTAAGGTATTCAGCTTAACTAAGTTCGTTTACACCTCTAACTGAGGTATTGAAGACTGATGGAAAGTGATTTGGTGTATGTGACGCTGTGCATTAATGACATTTCTCATTCCTGTTTGTCCTCCTATATTCTAGTTTTATTTTCGTTCTTCTCATTTGCAACACTTTGTTTATGCTGTGGACTGCAGCGAGAAGACCACAAGTAGGAGGCAAATATTCATTTTTCAAGGAGTCTCCCGTCTGGGGTGATTTTATGTCGTGATTAAACCTTTATTCAGTGGTTTTACCATCGAGAAGAGTAGGGAATAACTTCAGCACTGAGAACTTAGCATGTCTTTCCAAAGACACAACAAAACTTTTTGTTCTTTGATGGAACCATGTCCATTGTGCGTTTTTAGAATTTTGTCAGGCTACCAGAGACCTTTGCCAATACCCCCTTTCGGGATTCAAATTCAAGGAATTATTCCTTCAAACTGCCCGCAATTTCTTCTGAAAGCTGCACTTGTCCCGTTTGAATCATCAACACTCGGAAACACCTGAAGGCATTGGATTAATTAACAACTAACTTCGTTGATCACAGGATGGAAACATGACCGAAAAAGAAATCGATCTTAGTTTTCATCTATCCATTTTGGGAAAACCTTTTCAGGGTCTTGAGAAAGCAAATAGGTGTATAGGTTAAGAGCAATAGGAAGAGTTAAAAAAACAAGCTCACTCAGTTACGAGCAAGACAAACAAAATCTTATCAATAGTCTGTGCCAAATGTTATGAAGTACTACAAAAACAGCTTTCATTTTAATAAAAGACAGCTGCAACATCTGGTTCAGAGTTGCACTATCTCCATCAAGTGGTTTGATGAATCCTAGTCCTGCATTCTTAGCCAGGGAAACTATTGCGTTGTAATCTCGTTAGAAATTCTAAGGCCAGGAGCCCCACAAATATGGAATGACCAGCTTGAGGTTAACATATAAAATGTGGCTTGTCTATCAGAGAACCAGATGTTCTATCCTGAGAATCTCAGTCACTTCAAAGCAAATATGGACGTCAAAAGGCAAAGAACACTGTCCAACCAAGCAACTCAAACATAGTAGTAGCGTCGTTGTTGAGAAGCAAAGGCATATGCTTTTGACTTGGAAGTTGCAATGTTATACTCTTCATCAGTCTCTATTCTTTCCAAAATCTGCCTCTGCCAGACATAAATAAGAATATGTTGATCCTTCAATTCCTGCAGTAAAATGAATACTTGATTCTTTCTCAAATTCTAGCAAGGAAGAAGCATGGAATTAACTGATATTCTGCATTTTTTCCCCAAAGCAGTACAAGCATGGAAGTACCAGCACTTTTACCATGAAATTACCAAGATGTTATTATTATTTGAAGCTGAAGTTGCAACATCTTGGGATTCAAAAATGATACGCTGAATTCACAATGTTATGCTGGTATAGTACCATACTCTTCTTTTTCATTTTAACCCCCATCTGCACCATTTTTTTGCCTCAAGACCCATATGCACTTCAATGGCCAACCTTGCTGACTAATTCATCAAGTAATTGAAATGTAGGCAATAGTTTTCTCTCCCTGCAAAACACATCAACTAACAGAGCCCATGTATGAGGCTCTGGTTTGAAGCCCATCTCAACCAACCCAAATAATACAACAACAGCATTGGCTGCTTTTCCAGCCTCGCACAGAGAAACCAGAAACTCATTTGAGGTGGCAAAATGTGGCAGAAACCCCCTGACAAGCATCAAGCCAACAAGTTCTGTTGCCCTATCCAGTTCACTTTCCTTGCATAAGGAGTTCAACACAATCCTATAACTTGCCTTGTTTAGACTGACACCCTGATAAGGCAACCTCTCAATCAGATCGAGAGCCTCATCAAATCTGTTTCCTCGGCAAAGTCCTCCAAGTATAATATTATATGTAACTGCATCAGCTTTGGACTCAGTTCCTTTCATCTCTTTGAGTAACTCAACAGCTTCATCAACTCTATCAGCCCTACATAAACAATCTATTAAGGTTGTATAACCAACCGTATCAGGCTTCAGCTCAGCAGCCTTCATCTCATTAAATACCTCCTTGGCATCGTCCAACCTTCCTTCCTTACAAAAAACCATTCATGAGAGAGGAGTAATTAAATACATTTGGGTTGCACCCATTTTTCTTCATGAAGTCCATTATCTTCTTAGCTCTATCAGCTTTTCCAGCACGAGAGAAGCCATTTATCAAAACATTGTAAGTTAAAGCATCCGGTAATATCTGATCTTTCGAAACCATTTCCTCAAACAATTGAACAGCTTCTTCCAACCTTCCACAACTACAAAGACCATCCATAAGAGTTGAATAGGTGATCAAGTCAGGATAAGATATTTCAGCCGACCTCATCTGTTTCACCACTTCAAATGCAGATTCAATGTCCCCCTTCTTGCAGTGATATTTAACCAGGATGTTGAAAATGCACGAGTTGGGCTCTAAGTGGAGGTTCTTCTGAGCATCCAAGAGAAATGTCCTTGCCAGATCAATCTGGTTCTCGTCAACCAGTAAATTAAGACATGTACTGATGGCTTTCAAAGAAGGCTTTTCACGAGCAATTGGTTCAATTGCATAGAACATATGTAGTACCTTATCAGGCATAGAGGACTTTGAAAAATGCTTCATGAGATTAATGAATATGCCCTCATTGAACTTGCAAGTTTCATAAGTCATTTGATGAAGCACTCTGTCAACAGCCCTGAATCTCTTGCACTGTGCAAGCTTATGGAGAATAACAGCATAAGTGGAATTGTTATGACTAAAACCCTTCTGCTCTGCTGCCCTATTAAAAATTTCTAGAGCATGTTCTGGATCTTTCTGACGTTTTATCAAGTCAACGGTAGACGCGTGTGTTATGAACTTGCTTTTCTTGACACTCCTACAACAGTGTCTGAGGCCTCGACAGGAGAATCCAGTTTCTCGGTAGTGTTTTTGACAGATTGGAGAGGAGAGATCCATCGAATTGGAGATGATAATGACTCGGAAGTAGAGGAAAAAGAACGACCCTTTTGAACAAGTTTCATTGAATCCACAAAGTTTTAAATGTCTTGCAGAAGTTCATAGTTGCTGAGAATCAAACATCCATTTGCACACCACCTGTATGAGAAATTGCTAATTAGGCGAACACAGTGCCAAAGTAGCTAATAATCAATTCTCTTTCTTATTTCCATTACTCTTATCGTTCCTCGGATTCAATTTCTTTCTCCTCAGAAATATCAAGTACCAAAAAATCACCCCAACAAAAAAAATTACAATCTAAATACTGCACAACCAGTATTTGCTTGCCACTGTTTTTCCTATTTAAATTGCAGAATTCTAGCCTATTCCAAACAACCATTATTATCTGAACAATTGCCAGAGAGGTAACATGAATTATTGATCTTAAATTATTCTTCTTTGAATCTCTTTTAAGTCTAGCTAATCAACAATAACTAGTACTATTATCTGAACAATTGCCAGAGGGGTAAAATAAATCATTGATCTTAAATTATTCTTCTTTCAATCTCCAGCCCTAATACGATGTAAACAATGAAACACCATAATTCTAAGACATAATGAACTATCAATGCCTAATTATTTATTGTTGCCAGCAAATTCATGGCCCATATCAACTGAACCATACGCCAAAACCCTATGCAGATTATTTGACACCAAATCTGATAAATTAACTTAACTTATATTCAAAAAAAGAAGGCTACGAAGAAAACGGTACCATAAAGCAGAGACATGGCTGGGATGGAGGCCCAAGGCGTCTGATTTTGTTTACAAGCGTAAACACGACGGCCTGGTGGAAAGCTGGAACTGCTATGTGCTTCCAAGTAGCAACCAGAAAGGCAGCGTTTGTCAAATGCATACTATTTAGGTTTTACTGTTTATTACTGCAGAAAGTTTACAGGATTAATCTTTCCTGCACTGACAGTCAGTGAACTCGTCTTCATTGACTAAATGACAACTATGCATAATTTGAATTTGAAATTCAACTTTTACGCACATGTCATGAGTCTAACAGTAATAGTGTATACACTTTCAATGTATATAAGAACTAATTAGGAAAGCCTAATATGTTGGAAGCTTAGAACTTTAAAAGAATGTAGTGCATATCAATTTTAAAAAAGAAATATTTTTACTATTGAAGATATTGATAATGATACATATAAGATATTTAATTTTGTTCCAACGTCTTATTGAGTTTATGGTGAACTATAAATCGTCTAGTTATTTAAACTCATCAAAGCTGAACTAGACAATAAAAAAAATCAAATTTAATCTATTTATTTGTATATTATAGAACACAACACAACATTAAGTCTTGTTTGACTGTTATTGTCAGTGTTAGGATAATTATTTGCTTAACCAAATTTTGTATTATAAAAAACTTACTAGTAATAAATTAGTATTATAAAAAAGAATTGAAAAATCTTATATTACGTGAAAACCAAACACGCCCTAAACAGCCCACCACCCGGCAGCCATCCTATTTCCACGTTGTCAACCACAGGATAAATATCCAAATATTCACCGCAGACTCGGAATAAACTGCACATTAACTTCCGCACTTTCTCTCACTACCCCCACACACTTCCTTGCTCTAAATTCTCTCTCTAACTGGAAATGGCCACCTCACTCGCCGCCGGCGTCCCGGACAACCTCACGCGAGAGCAGTACGTCTACATGGCGAAGCTAGCGGAGCAAGCTGAACGCTACGAGGAGATGGTACAGTTCATGGACAAGCTAGTTCTCAGCGCCACCCCTAGCGCCGAACTCACGGTGGAGGAGCGCAACCTGCTGTCGGTGGCGTACAAGAACGTGATCGGCTCCCTCCGCGCCGCGTGGAGGATCGTTTCGTCGATTGAGCAGAAGGAAGAATCCAGGAAGAACGAAGACCACGTTGTTTTGGTCAAGGAGTACAGATCTAAGGTTGAGAATGAGCTGAGTCAAATTTGTGCCGGGATTTTGAAGCTTCTGGACTCAAATCTGGTGCCTTCCGCTTCCTCTAGTGAGTCTAAGGTTTTTTACTTGAAGATGAAGGGGGATTATCATCGCTACTTGGCCGAGTTTAAGGTTGGAGATGAGCGTAAGGAGGCTGCTGATGATACTATGAATGCTTACAAGGCTGCTCAGGTATACTTGAACGTTTGTACCTTCTTTTTTCGTATACAGTTGTATTTAATTCTCAAGTGGTAAGTAATTTTAGAGTTTGACTGAAATTCGATATATTTCTGGCTATGACTGCTTAGTTTAATCTTTTGCAATCATCTTTAGGATTTTGACCTCAGATTTGCCAGACAGTTTGATATTAAGGCACCTATGTCGATCTATATGCACGGTACATGTATCACTTCTAATTTTGTCCTCTAGCTATTTGGAGAGTTAGCTGTTGGCTTTGTTGCTAAGGTTCTGTGCTGGAATTACTGGCTGCGATTATGTACTTTTAGTGTCTGATAAATTTAGTAGTGATACAAGGTTGTTCAGTCTCTTTCATTACAGTACGTTGAGGTGGAATATTGTTGGATTTCCCATTTCAAAATGTATATTGCATTTTGGAGAGCTCTATTTGAGTCGTTTAAAATAAGAGTTTGAGCAAGTAGCTTGGTAATTTGTGTTTGTGTTTGCGATCTTAGAATAGAACATGAATGCTTATGACTCCGTTGGCTTTTTGCATGCTTTACCATGTATATCCAGTTACTGTTCTAGAAGAGACTGATTTTGGCTGTTGAGTCTGTTAGTTAGCTCAGGTTAATTTTAAAGAGATAAAAAGCAAATGGAAAAGAATTTATAACTGCTAAGGAAAGTGGTGTAGGACAAGTTGTTGGGTAGTCAAATAGGCTAGGGAATTCACCAGGATATTTCTCAATACAAGTATAGCTACTTTTTCATTTTTTCTTGTATTGCTTTGATTTTTTCCTTTGTGAGCATATGGAAAATACATGCAGAAGTCATTGTCTGTGTTGGTACTGATTAACCATTTCCAAGAGGAGTGCTGGACTCACTTTTAATTGGAGTGCTTTCCATGTCTAGTAGTCTCTTACATCATGCATTCTTCTAAGTGAGGATACTTGTTCTTCTTTTGGAAGTTTTAATTGGAATACAGTTTGTAAATATTGAAGTTGGTAATGAATGCAGATAAATGGTTATTTTCGTGATAGATATATATATGTAAGAGGTATGCATTTGTAATGGTGGCTAACAGACTGTGGATTTTTGTATTAAAGAACTACTTTATGATGTGTTAAATATTTGGGTTTGAGTTAATGAGTACTGTAGTTTGAATGACAAGATGAAAGCTTGCTTGAATAGGCGTACCTGTCGTTTATTGAATGGCTGCATTTTGAGTTCTGTGATAAGGGTGCTGTTTCAATACTGTAACATGTTATTCTTTCTGTTGCATTTGAAGGAAATTGCACTGGCAGATCTTCCCCCCACTCATCCTATTAGGCTGGGGCTAGCACTCAATTTCTCAGTGTTCTACTATGAAATTCTTAACTCATCAGACAAAGCTTGTAGTATGGCGAAACAGGTAATCTCCTGCATCTTCTTCCTGGAAAAAGTATATTTTTTATTGGTATTCTGTCATCACAACTTTGTTTTTATCTTTACTTTGATTGACACGTGCTTCCTGTGTATCACTTGTGTCCAGTTGTAATCTGCAACTGCATGGTATGTGAAATTTTGATTTAATGTACATGACTGGTTAGAAGCTAGGTTGACAATGTATTCTGGAAAAGATGCTAAATATCGATGAACTTGGTTATTGGAATTGCTCGGATAGATTTAAATGCTTTTTTGGTTTGCGTTGCAATTGCCATTTGTGCAGCTATTTGATCAGACAGGAGTGTATGTTTTGTTGGTTTTGATTGATTCTTTTGATGTTGTGAGTATTCTTGATTAAATATGGATACACAAAGGGAAAAAGGAAAATAGCTTTTGAAAGAAACAACCTTTCTAGATCTAGATGAGTGGACATGCTTCCACTTAAGCATGTGTAGACTGCAAATTGCATGGTCCAGTATCTAGAAGTCCCTAAAGTTTAGGAAGGAGAGTATAATAAGTAAATGGTTTATTGACCGAACTTCCTCTTAAGAGGAAAACCTCTGGTTGGCTAATTGGGTGAGGCATTGGATTAAAATTTCCTTTGGAATTTTTGCTGCATGTTATACCATGTTGTACATTTTTCCATTTATAAAACGGAGCTGCCTGCATGATTAGTCATCTTTTTTAAGTTTGGTAGAATTTATTAATCTGGTCCTTCTACATGCTCCTGTAAAGGCATTTGAGGAAGCCATAGCTGAGCTGGACACGTTGGGTGAAGAATCTTACAAGGACAGCACCCTGATCATGCAACTACTGAGGGATAACCTAACTCTCTGGACGTCAGATGCTCAGGTATTGTACGAGTATCACTGTAGGTTCCCCATTTGCATGGGCTGAGAGTCAATAATTGATCACCTTTGTATCCTCTTGTAAAAATGGTACTTACATGTGTGCTGGTCTTCATGCAGGATCAGTTGGATGAGCCCTGATCTTTATGCAACAGTTGGTCAACCTCCCCTCAAGGAGGTGGGCTTCAAGTGTCATTTGTTTGTGCTGACTAATGGAGTGTTGTCTAAGAAGCAGGGTGTCAAGCTGTGACATGATATCTTTTAATTCAGACCAATCCTAGTTGATTATAGAATGATTTGTGATGGAACTAATGCCAGTGATAGTTGCCAATACTGCTGCTGTCTTTAAATTTTTTGGGGTCAGTCTTGGCTCTTGCATGTCTTCCTTTGGCTTCTACCGTTTTGCTATACAAATATCATCAGGTGGTTGATGGAACCGAATGCACACGACTAAAGTAGTCTGCAGTTTGATGGAACTGAATGAACCCTGCAATTAGGTTGAGCTTGGCATCCAGATTTAACATATCATCATCCCTAGGATCTTTTGTTTATCAGTTAACACGTAGTGATCAAGAGCCACCCGGCATTTGCTTTCCATCCCATGGATGCACGCTTGCCATTTGTTTTGGATGACTTTCCCTTGATGCCATAGTTGGATGACTTTCTCGTGTTCCTTTGGTTCATATTCTTTTCTCCATGTTTAATTATTTTCACGTCTATGTCTAGTAAATGAATTTGTTTCAAAGTAACCTGATTGTTTCTCTACGTGACTTACGGTTTTTTTTCCTTTTCCCATCTGGATTGGGGTTGGGTGCGGCGGTTATGTGTTTTCTTCTTCGTTTTCTTCTTTTTTTTTTGGTTTTTTTGTGGGGGGATGGGTTAAACTATATCTGTGAAATTCAAATCAAAGTAATTCCAGCCTATTGAAAGCAATAGTTGCTAATCTCAGCATTATTGGGGAAGTAGGGCTGGGCTGCTAGTTTCGGGAAAGCGTTGCCAGAATCCAGTAGTTAAATCACTCACCCTCGAAGCAGAAAACCACAGCTACATTGCTAATTTACTTATCAGAATCTACTTTCTAGTGCTAAAACAGCAGAGAGAGAGAATATATTGGCTGCTCCTGTCATGGTTTTTTTTATCCTTCCCTTTTTCCTGGAGTTGAAAAACAGGTCATGGATGCGTCAAACGTACAGTGGTTCAGGCAAACAATATCCAATCCAATCTATTAAAAGGCAACATAAACATCCACTGCTCATGCGACAGTATGCACAAAGTGCTATATATACAACCAAAAGGGATTTATTTATTCCAAGAAACGATGCATTTTCCTGTATATAGCCTTGGCTTTAACCAGTTCAGTCCCTTGTGCTATTCTTTATCCATTCAAGATATTGGAGGTTGCCACCGGTTATGGGCAAGGCGATCACTTCTGGCACCCTACCAGAACACATGCAGACAAAGAACAGAAGTAAAATAAAATATCCACAGCCATAAACTTGCATGTTGCCATCTCAATGATCGTAGATACTGTTAAAACTAGAATAGCCTTTACTTTTACCCCATTCGGTAACCAACCCGCCTTACAGCATATCAGTAACTAGAAGTTCTTGATCAATTAAACTATTTAAGTGTCATTGCATGTTAAAATATACAAAAAATCTGAAGAAGCAACTCTTACTCGTATTCGTGATTTGCCTTGACATGCTCTGTCAGAGCATCCAAAAGTGATTCCCTAGTCTTAATTATTAGCAACTCTTCAGGATCTGTCTGCACCTGCAATCACCAGTACAAAGGGGAAAACTTGAAAGAAAATCTCTTCACATATATTAAGAACCAAAAAGATTTTCGATAGCTGAAACTTATGTATCAATGTTTATCATTTTTTTAAAGTATTTGACAATTAGAGATCTTACCTCCCCTTTCCACTCATAAACAGACTCTATTCCTGCAAACCACAGAGAAATGATATTTAGGGACGGGAACTTTTGAAGAGTTAATTCACTATTTATGTTGAGGAGTTAATTGAAGTGCTCAATTTATTTCACTCAGGCATCAGGTGCAATTTACTTTCATATTTTGGTAGCCAAGAAGGACATTCCTTAATTTCAGACTCCATCTGTGACATGCTTTGCCCCAGATTATCATTGATATGCCAATGCCACTAAATAACGTACGAATGACATATTAGAAATATACTAGTGCAACTATGACATGCTATCAAAAATTTGTGAAAGAGCAACAGGTTTTGCTCAATCCTTCAACAAAGAACACAAGACCAGACAAGATTAAGAATTCTCGAAGCAGTGAAAATTTTGACAACCCCTGTGACGTTAACTGAGGAGCACAGGAGCCTGACATTGTAAAATAATGTGTAACGTCATAAAAGAATGCAATGAACAGATTTGACAGATCAAATGAGATAGAAATTAATAACCAAAAAACAAAAAAAGATGAGATAGATGTTCAAAACTTATTTTGACACGAGGAATGCTTCAATTAATTTTTCAAATTCTTTCTAGCAATTTTATAGCAAACCTATTGAGCTTAGAAGGCTGCAATTGAAAAAATCAAAGTACTTGCCGAGAACATCAATCATAGACTTTTACCATCAAATATCACACTGTCTGCATACTTGTAAATGATTAGAAGGGGTAGCAAACACCAAAAAAGGGCGAAGAGAAAAAAGAATAATAAGTTCAACATCTAAAGCAAGAAGGAAAAGCGCATACCTGGAACTCGGTTTACACAGGCTGCAAGCTTTTCTTTAACTATGCTTTCTGCCAGTTTCTTACCTGCATCAATAAGCACAAGCACAGATTTACCATTTAACAAGTTGGTTTTGGTACTAATGCATTACTCGCAGAAGGCTGCAAACCAGGATTCAGCATGATGAGCAGCAAATGGTGAGGAAATGGTCATATGTCCACATTCAAGTATGATAGAGCAATTTTTCTAAATATTATGGTATTTATCCTCGCAAGCGCCTAAGAAAATCAGGAGAGAAGAACGTACAAATTTCAAACAGCTGTTATTCAAGATCTATACTATTTTGTGCCCTTCATTGCTATTTGATTCCCCTAGTCCTAACCCATAATTTTGTTTTAAAAAAAAATCCCACATCAAAATCTTCTCCTCTGATCAGCCTTACCAGTTCCTGAACACAACCAGAAAGGCATAAACATGTTTCGTTTAAGCAATCACAAAGCTTATGATGATGCCCTGAAAATTTGTATCAAAAATTGGCAGATAAACATCGATTAATTTATATACTCATGAATAAACCGAATCATGCATCCATACGGTACAAAATCAACAAAACCCAAAAGTATGAACTAATAGCAGAATTTATTAAGATAGCCACATTCAGGCTCACTAGTCCAAAACTTTAGATACAGTCAACTATTTATCACAAACATATGGCAATACAGCAAAACAACAATAACCCCACTTACCAGCTTCTTTATTTGGAACAGTGACATAGACAACAATGCTGGGAACAGTTTTGCTGCTTGCTTCCATCCTTATCCTATTTGTACTATGAACACTACTACCAACTTTTGATCTGCAAATATAGTTTGGAAAAAAAATGGTAATTAATTTCACCAAAAGTGCCAAGAAATCAAATTGAGCAAGAATATACATAAAAATGAATAGAGAAATTACCCAAGATTGGGAGAAAGTGGAGGGATTGAGCACAGCCCGTTTTAGAGGAGGGATTAAAAGAGGGGCAGAGATTGGAAAGACCGAAGCTTAGGACACAGAAAGCACCTACTAATGGTAATCGGCGACGAACTACTGAAGGTGATACTAAAGATGAGAGCTTTAATGCCATTGGAAGGGCTTTATAGTACCACCAACTACTGTTTCCTTAGTGGATGATTTATTCCCAACTGATGAGGTTGGGGGTGGAAAGGAATTTGTTCCATTATTCAGGCTCAAAATGAAAGAAAGGTATGTTGCTTTGCTGAGGAAAATTGGTTTTGGGCCTTCTTGATGTAGCATTCAAGAAGGCACCTTAGTGCTCGGGCTTGTTTTCGCATGATTCAGCATTTGGGCTGAAATATAAAAATGAGAATTTAATTTTTCTTCAAGCTCAAATTGAAAGTTTTTTTTTTTTCCTTTTAAAAGGAATGAGATTAAGAAGTCGATAATGAGAAAAAAAATTTTGGATTCAAAATCATTCTATCTTACATCAATACTTTTATTACAGAAACATCAAAACTGTTTTTGCAATAAGAATATAGACAGAGTTTTTTCTTTAACTGTAACCCTGCATTTCATTTGTCCATATCCTTTCTCTTCTTTCCTCAAAAATCTGCCAAACAAAGAAAATTCAACTTTCTTTTCTGTCTAAATCCCTCACTCCCAAATTAGCCTCTAGGCTTAAAGAGGATACACACTACGCTTTTCATCAATGATAGGGTCTAGCCTTTAGAGCCATACCGGAAGAGGCATGGGCTCTAAGCCCATAAAATGTAGATACTAAGAGTCCTATTATTTTTTTTTAGCAATGAGGGGCTAAAGTATCTGCTATCTTAAATCTCGCTTCAAATATTTTTTTCCTACATTTTTTTTATAAGTGAGAAGTGTTGAATTCAAGTTTTGAAGATAAATAATTTGGAATCTATTTTATGAAGGCGGACGCAATTCTATGGACCCCGTTTCAAAGATAAATAATTTTGTAGCAATTTTTGTAAAGGCGGGGCGCAATTCTATGAATAAGAGATGTTGTACAAATATTTACAGCACGTTGAAAATTATTAACAAGTTCTCCAAGCATGTTGAAAATTCATCTCACTTCCATTCCTCTTGTTAGACCATCTACAGCACTCATAACGATAGCTCTATAAATTGCAAATTCCACTCTTATAATTAATTGGATAGTTTGAAGTTGAGATGACCAATGGGCCTTTGAGCAATGCCAGCAGCCAGCACCCAACTGGCTGATGCTGAATCACTGACTATCCATATGGGCTAAATTTTGTTGCGTTGGGCCCTCTATATGTTAATATTTTTTTGGGGCTGGGGCTAGTAAATCTGGAGATATAAAATAAATTTTAACTAGCTAAATCAATCAATTTAAGAGAGAAACTCTCAAGCTAAGCAAGCGTTCTCATTAGAGACTAATGTAAATACTTAATTAATTTTGAGCCTTTGTGATCTCATCAAATGGATCGATACAATCTCCCAATAAGTATACAATTCAATCTTGCAGAATTACCTTAAAAATATTACTGTAGTAGTTTATTTCATTTTTTTTTTCAACACAGAGGTATCTGGGTTTTCGGACTGATAATACCTAATGATCCAACTAATCCTCTGCGGGTCGGGAGAGGCTGCCCAGCTTTTTCACCGACCGCTTTTATTTAGATATTATAATTCTAGATCGGTACTATTTGTAATTGTTATGCATCTAAACATAATTGTAATTTTTATTCAATAAAAAATAAGAGAGAAAAAAAAAAAGAAGAAAAAAAAGAGAGAGAGGTAGTTGGACCACCCATCAGAATCTGGAGATTCTGAACTCACGTGTACACACATCCCTAATTCTTAGTAAGGGGATGAATACTCCCAGCCAAAGCAACTCCCCTTTAAAATAATTAATCTGTACTGATTAGTACTTTGATTATCAGAGAGAGAGAGAGAGAGAGCAGAGCATTTTGATTTCGATGATTTGACCATCGCAAATTTTTGTAGGCTTCAGCATCAACACTTCCAACAGGGACAACAGTTCCTTAATTTTTTGCACATTGCTCATCTCTCTTTCTTTTCCCTCCAGTCTTCCCCAAAGGGCCTGTGGTCCCTTAGTACCCTCTTCCCCCACTCCCCCCCCCCTCCCCCACCAAAAAAAAAGGCAAAATACTTTTGTAATTCTAATGCTAGTATTTCCACCTTTTGCCACTGCTATTTTAAATCATAATCATTAGCCAAGAAACTAAAAAAATTCAGTAGAGCTTATGGTTTTAGAATGTAAGAAAAAAATCTAGTCAAGTTAATTCATAGACAAGAAGAAGAATTTAGGGAAGGGATAATATGGTCTCATCAAAATAAAAATGGGCAAATAACATATGGGAGTGCAAATAACATTACCCAAAAAAAAAAATTGCAGTTGTGTCAACAACTCCATCAAACACTTTTTTGTAAATTTCAGAATCATAAATTTGCTTTATGGTGTCACTAAAATGAAAAGTCGTTATAATTTAGACATATGTACTAGAAAATTTCTATAATCCCTTAATTTAGGGCATCTTTCAATAAAGATACGCTTTATAGTTTAAATCATTTAAAACTGCTACTATCCAAGGATCAAAAATACGTCTTTCATCCTTCAGTAGTAACGGTATGATATCCAAAAGGGACGGTAAAATCTTTTTGTATATTGATATAGAAAATACAAAATGCTTATATACATACACTATAGGCATGTAGAGATTGATTTTAGTTGGTGTAAGACAAAAATTTTGCCAACCCCACCCACCCCACCCCAATTGACTAATATACAACGCAAAAACTTGAATGTGAGCACCAATGAGGTGGTAAGATTAGATGACATGGCCACTGCAAACTATAGTAATTTTTTTGGGGTTGGGGTTTGGAGGGGAACCTAGTGGTGGAGACACAGGAGATACGGCGGATGTTCGGGACGGTTGTGGTGGCGGACCACAGTGTTGGACTAGTTGCACATGCCTGCAAATACAGGGCCAAAATGGCTACTACCCACAACCTGCAGGCAGACGATATATTTTCCTTTCTCCACCACGATTATTATACGTCCAAGTGTTGGCATTAGACTCCAACTAAGTAAATTAATCTCTCTCAAATGCTGACGATCTGCACCCAGCTCTTGCCTTTTTAGTATGTAATTCTTCAGTAGTGGTTCTGACTTCTGCCCATATATATGATACAGAAAAATGAGTGAAAATTGAGAAGAAAATACAGCACTTGCGAGAAAGAATACATCTGCTTGTTTCTGCATACACGACACGACTGAATACACGTACGTTAAGCAATGGTAGCTTTTTCCAGTAATGAAGAATACATCCGTGTTTTCATCTGGTTGGCTTCCTTGTTGCAGCAGCTATATCTATTAACACAGCAGAATCTTTACATTAATCTTGTTAAATGACGAGTGACTCTACTTTGTTTCTTGTGATTTAAGCAAAATCAAAAGCAGAAATTCTACACTAGGCACGTACTAGTTTTTGTTCATATATGTATATTAGTCTGTCTCCCTCTCTCTTTTATTGGCCTAAAAACAAGCAGCTTTTTCCTCATTGTTAATAGCTCAAAATTGTCTTCGTCCCTACCCTTGATAAATTAGTTGCCAGTAAACTGCAAGAAATTCTTTAACTCTCACCACAGGCGCTCTTCTCTGATCTAAATGATATTGAAAATGCGATGGGGATAAGTATTCATATGATCCCGTAGACTTCTTTTAGGGATTCCAATTTGCATAAAGCATTAATTGCCTGTAGTTCGGTTGTATCAATTATCATTTTAACGATCCATGAAGGAACAATATCATCATTTTAACGATCCATGGTGCATTTTTTTTTTTCATAACGTAACCTTGCAACATGTATAGGGAGATTACATGCTGCTAATATCAGCCCTTTACATCTATATTGAATTTTCGAAAAAGTAATCTGATGGTTAATTTATTAAAAAACAAGTCCCTGATGTCTACTCACAATTGAATGGAAAACAATTTCTTATTCCCTGCAAGTTGATAGATTGATATTGATAAAACCTTTGGTTTCTTCAAATGTTAGCTAGCTTTGTGATTTTTCCTCTACATTTAAAACTTTTAGTTCCAAATGATGCTGCTAGGATACAATGGTAGCTATAAGATAACTGCACTAGAACTAAAACTACGTACAAACGAATCAAGTTAGTTCTGAAGCGCTCATGAGCAAACTCAATAAAAGCTTGCGTAGAAGTCAAGCCAATTAAGTCGAACTCGAGCCGATTAAGTCAAGCTATTGAGTCGAGTCTGAGAATAGATTGAAAATTAAATTGAATTCAGTTTGATTTGGCTAAAATTTGACACGACTTGACTTGACTCGTTTAGAATAAAATCAAAAGCTAACCATGTGGTCCACAGTGTATTCATGTAATCCATTGTAAAATGAAACATAAGTTAGGAAAAAATCATTTTTGCACATATAAATGCTCAAGCAACGACACAGAGATAAATCATACGGATGGGATCATACTTGAGACAAGAACAAAAACACATGCACCGTCCCCTTATCCCCAGAAACCCCACACTAGTTAGGCACACACCAAGACTGGTGAGAAGAGAGGAAGATGGCCATAGACATAGAGACTCGTCTGTTCAATGCTATAATATACTATGAGACATTACTTCTTGGGTTTTGGAGCAGTAAAAAAAAAAGAAAGGAAGAAAAAAGATTAGTAGAATAAAGGAAGACAATTTGAAGCATGAGGATAGGTTAAAAAAAAATAAGTCATGGGGGTGTGAATGACACTCTGGAGAGCTCGGATCTCAAACAGTAAGAATAGACCATCTTTTAGACCAAAGTTAAAAAAGTCTTCAACAGATAGAGAGAGACCATCTTTCAGACCCTCTCTTACTCACTCCTGCTTCTCTCTCTCTCTCTTTATTCCTCTTATAATTTTTTTTTTTTTTTTAAAAAGAGAAGAACCCCATCAGCCATTGGCAATTTGGCATTGAGATTGAGACTCCCATTGCTGCATGCAAAACCTGACATGATCCCATATGACCTTACTACTCGACTTGGTTCAAAGACAAAAGGGACAGCGAAGAATTTCATCAGGTGAGAAAACTGTGAAAGGAAAAAAGAGAGAGACACGAAAAGGTGAATTCAAAAGTGTAGAAAAAAGAGACAGTTTCAAAGAATTTGAGGAAAAAGGGTTTGAAATTTGTGTCCTAAAGTCTCTTTAGGGAATCCCTTGTAAGCATGTCTGAGAGAGAATGCGTTGTTTGTGAAAAAACATGAAGCATCCTAAGTTAATAACGCATTGCCCAGTGAGATTGTGGTCCAAATCATGCAATTTTACCGTTGAATTAACCAATTATTACCATGAACAATGCTGCTAGAAAAAAAAAATTTTGGTCAATTCAAAGTAAGCAACAACTTATCATCATATCCATATGAACTGGTGTTGATCAAAATTAAATCAGATTAAATTAACGTGTAGTACTGCATTGAGATCATTATGATTGCTGCTGCTGGAGAATTGAGTGACCGATTATCAACAAAATGGTCTTGGACCAAATTTTTGTCTGGAAATACGGAATCAACCGACTTCTTGATCAGGGGCATTGATTTTTGGACTCTGTCGTATTGCATTTCATGAAATGACTTGTGATGGCCCTCCTCTAGCCAACAGCCAAACCACATTAATCAGCTCATCAAACACAAGAATTAAATGCTCAAGAATTCTTGCTCTTCTTGTGCGTCTAATTTAAGTCATGCAGCAGTCCAACTTGCCTTCTTTTTAAAAAAATTATTAACTTATTAAGACAAAAAATGTAATAAAAATTAAGGGCCTATACATAAAATTAAAAGGGATTACAATCTGTCAACCGAGGTTTAGGCTTAGTTTGGGAGTTTAGGATAGAAAAGAAAAGAAGGGAAAGCTTAAGTTATGAGAGAAGAGAAGAGATTGTTATATTGTTTGGGAGTTTTGAGAATTAGTGGAATGATTTTGGATATGGAAGTCATTAAATATTTATTCAAAGCATTTTTAAGGACAAAATAGGCATTTTAGAAAAATTAACAAGCTTTCTCCAAACTTTCTCTCCATTTCTTTCCAATTTGGGAGGAAATATTTTTGTCACTATTCATCCTCTCATTTCCTTTCTTTTCTTTCCTACTTAAAACTATCAAACAAAGGAAAATCAGTCTTTCTCTTCTTTTCTATCCAAATCATTCACTCCCTTAAGTTCAAGAAGGTAACCTAAGGAGGGGGAGCCATCTTCTTCTTACCGTCTATCCTACTCCAAAATTGTAGCTTTAATTAATAGGGGTATCAGTTTACTTTAATTTCTCAAAAATTCCCCAATTACTTGCTATCAGATACAATCGAAGTTAGATTACCTATCTATGTAGTAATATATAGATTCAACATTACGGGAAATTATTACTAGTTTCTAAAACTCTACATATATATATACATATCAAGAAGCAGTAGTATTCCACATTTTAAACTTCAATAATACATCCATCATTATTCCTCTAACTAATTACTGCTATCCCACATAATCCAGAATTTACACCGAGTTTGGAATCAAAACTGTCCTAATCAAACAGTCATCGCTGAATAATAGGAAAAAATTTGTACTTTTTGATATCACATTGGCAGAGGCCCCAACTCAGACGCTCCCAAAAGCAATCAAAAGCAAAAGGCCATTTCTTTTTGTGATGCCTTGGTCAGTAACCCTTTAATTTCATCCAATGCTGCAGATGACACTCTGGAGATTTTCTCATATTTCATCATTAACTTGAAGCTTTGGGGTCATCGGCAATGATATATCTTTAGATATGACCATATAAACACATTATTATCTAGTTGATATTCCATAATTTTTTCTTACGGTTCTATCTAGTTTTTTTTTTTTCTTTTCCCTGTTAACTTATGTGTTATCTCTCACTAACTTTAGATTGAGTCCGCTGACTGACCACCTAGCAAAGTTACAATCAAATGTGAAGAATAGAGGAGGGAAAAGTACAAGAATGCTACTTGATGTTAATCAATATGCTGCTAGTCTACCAATTTCAACAGCTAGAGTTGCGAGTTGATTTGGTTCAGCTAAAAGATGTTACATTCAATCATGATGAGGTCAAGGATGAGACTTTACGTGGCAGTAGAATTCGGTAAGCCAGACACTTTTTAGTCTGATTCCATGTGCATTTTCATCCATGGTAAATAGTTGTTCTTCCTCCATGAAATGATACATTCACAAATATAAAAGATTAGAATTATAAATGCAATGACAATATTTGGAGATGGAGATAGCCAAGTATGAGAGTATATTGGACCGGTAACTTTGGTGTCAAATTAATGGTATCATGATGAACGTTGTCACTTGTGAAACAAGAAAATGCAGTCGATTCTATTCTAGTCAATAATGTTAGGCCATTGAAATTTTTGTTGCTTATGAGGATATTAATTACTACCATTTTATGTGAAAAGGATTTTCATAAATAGGAACATCCGTGCATTTTTAATTCACGTTGTAAAACTTTTCTTCCTTGCTAAATGAGAAAAAGATTACATTGGTCGATCTCATTACTTGAAAAGTCGTCAATGAGCATGTATTCATAAAAAATTGAGAATAAAAGAGTTGTATAAACATAAAAATATATGTACTCATAGGCATTCTTATATTCTTATGCGAAAATCGTTTAAAACGTCTTTCGCACATTTTGTCAAAACAATTTTTTTTATCTTTCACTTTTAAAGTGTTAACTTTGCATCTTTTACGAATTTAAGTTTGCAAAATTTGGTTCTTACCTAAATTTTTTACCACTGTTTATCCTAAAAATCACCACATGATCCACATACAATCACTTTTGTATGTTCAGGTCCCATTTTTTTTTATTGGCAAAAAATGAATATAGATTTTGGGTCAAATTATCCTTTTTTAAGGACAAAATTGAATATAAATCAAATTATTTGTTTAATTACAAACGAGATCTAACATTTTTACCACTAAAAAAATAATCATATATCGGTCATGTGATGAATGCAGGATAAAATGTAATTGAAAATCTAGATTGAAACTAAAATTTATTGACTTAATTTTATAAAAAATGTAAAGTTAGTATAATTTAAAAAATGAACGATGAAAAAATTTATTTAACGAAATATAAGACACGCTTTGAACAATTTTTCCGACTCTTATGTGACAAATAATTCTTGAAGGCATACTTCTAGATATGAGCATTAGTAGTTTTTGCAATTGACTTTTGTTCTTTTTATTATTTATTACTTTTTGTCAAAAATAGCTGGAAATACCTACTAGCAGTAGCGAGTAATGAAGAGCAGAGGGAAAGGACTAATTGTAGTACATTGTACGCTCATAATTGCATTGTCTAAGTGGAAGCACACAACTAACGAGACTCAGAGAGCCCACGTGTCAGTACCCCAGGAGCAAAAGACAAAATCATTCCCGATTGGTCGCTCTCTTTCTTCCCGAATTCTCAAAATTATCCCTGGACCACAATCAAATGCCAAACAAGTCCTTTATCAATCAGCAGTAAAAACAAAAAATATATATATAAATAATAATAATAAACACACGTCATTTTCATCCTTGCCTTCTTGGGCATCCAAAGAATTTTTCCTACATTCTAACGAACTATTAAGTGAATAATATCCTCATTCAAAGAAAGCCAATTTTCTGGTTGTAAATTCGCTCATTTGTCCTTGCTTCTTTTAGTCAAAAATTTAGTGGTCTATCTAGCCATTAGAATTTTTTTGTACCCCAAGTATTCACTTTCTTTACCAAATTCAATAATGTATATACACTCAAAAAGCAACCAAGGAAACAACAACATTCTCTGAAATTCATTGCAAATTAACAGGTACAAATCTAATCTAGGATGCATGTACACGAATTTTTTTTTTTTTTTAAATTCTATGTTGCATTTTTATGCCTATGAGTTACGTGACTTATTTGTAGCATGTTTTGTACTTCATTGTTTTGCTAATGAAATGCTAAATAGATAGCATTCCTGAAAGTGTTAAATAAAAGGTGACAAAAAAATAATAAAAAAGTGTAAAATAAAAGATAATACAGCTTTCTCAATATAGAGTTTACGTACATATATATATATAACTCGTAAAGAGAAAGATAATTAATTGAGTGCAATCACGCTGCTCCAATTCATTTTAAAAAAAATAACCGTTAGGTTTAGGGTTTTTGGCGAAGGTGTGTCTCAACGTAATCGACAATTATTATCGCGCCATAGTTATTAATAAAGAAGTTCAAAATTCTCGCGAGTATTTTGCCTTTGGATCCAAGGTGTGTGTGTCTCAATGTAACATATTGGATAAGAGGGTGTCCCAACGTAACCATTCAATTATACTCACGTAGCAATTATTAGAAAAGAAATATAAAATCCCATAAGTATTTTCCCTTTATCTCCATCATTTTCCCTTAATTGATAATTGTGTAAAAGCATTCGATTCATTTTAGGCATCACCATATATACACGCGTACACCCTCTAGTGTTACACACATTTTATTAGGACAACATCACAGCACTGAGCACTCCTCTCTGGCTGTCACTCTGTTTTCATTTTCTTTGCTTTTTTCTTTTTCTTTTTCTTTTTTTTTAAGCTCGACACTTCTCTCCAAATCTTTCTAACTTTCCACCCCAATTTGCCTATATTTTGCTAGCCTCATTTCATTGTGATCCGGCCAAAACCCCGCCTCTGTTTTCTCCCTTCATCCCTCCCTGTCCCTCCTCCTCCTCCAAAACCATCACCACCAGCAGCCCCCTCCTCCTTCCTCTCCAACCCAAAGAAAGAGGCCCTTCTGTTACTGTCCAAGTATTTTGTTATCAAATGTTCATTTCTTGATTACATTCTTCATTCATTTCTTCTTGATACACTGTACATTGTTTGTAAAACAGAAAACTGTTCCATCCCTTTTTCTGGTTGTAGCTATCCAAGCTTGAGAAAATCAAGATTGAGTCTTTTGTGGACAGGTGACTAAAGGGCTTATATAAGAAGTGATAAAAAAATAAAAATAAAAAAACTAATATTATTTTTTTCATCATTAGAAAAAAAACAAGTTTTTTGAGGAAAATGGCACCAAGTTTTGATTGTTCTATGTCGAGCCTTCTCTGTGCAGAGGACGACAGTAGTGTTTTTGGTGATGATGGTGATGAGGTTTTTGATTATGGAGTGGTTACGGAGGAGTTTGATGATATATGGCATCAAGGAAAGCATCAAAAGAATAATCAAAACATGGGTTTTTATGGAGGGAAGGAGATTTTGATTGGTCTGCCATTGCCAAGTGAAGAGTTCTTGGCTTTGATGATCAAAAAGGAATGTGAGCATTTGCCTGCCACAGATTACCTCAAGAGGTTGAAAAATGGGGACTTGGATTTGGGTGCTAGACAGATTGCTATGGACTGGGTTAAAAAGGTTGGTCAAATCCTGGCAAAATCACTTTTTCCCTGATCCACTGTTTTGTTCACATGTTTGCAGTTCTAAGTGTTTATAATAGCTTTATTCAGTAATCCTAATGAAAGAACGTATTAGATGGAATCAGTTTCCTAGAAGGATTGTTGATTGTCATTTCGATATTTGGTTTGCGTTATCATACTTAGAATTGGCTTTGATGATGTCCAGCTGTTCTTTTTCTTGCTTTTGCAGATGATGACGACGATGTCTTATAAAATCACCAAGTTCTTATTAGCTCCCTAGGTGCTTGAAGAAGTAGGATGCTTTTTTTTTTTTTGTTGGGGGGTTGGTGATGGAATCCTACTTTCTATTACATTGACACGAAACCTGAATTGTGTTAGGTGGAGTTTTTTGTTTTTGCTAATGCTGATCTTTCCATTAGACGTTACTTTCCTTCCTCTTTTTTGTAGACAACCAATTCTTGGCTGTCTAAAGTTGGAGTTATATTTTTTCCTTGTCTTGTTCAGTAACATTTATTGTCCTCATTCAGAAGTTCAATGAATTACCTGTAATTCTTTTCCTTTTATTGAATTCTAGTGAATTTAAACAGATTCCGTGTTCGATTAAGATGATCAATTTATACGTTCTTTATGATGAATCGGTTGCGTAGCATTTCTGACATTTATCGTGATACTACCGTTACAGGTTCATGCCCGTTTCAATTTTGGACCTCTGAGCTTATATTTGGCTTTGAACTACCTGGACAGATTCCTGTCTGTTCATGAGCAACCCGTAAGTACTACTGAATACTCAATCAAATACTAAGATGTGATGGCATTGCATTTTGGTTAGTTAGTTCACATGCTTTTGCCTTGTATTCAATCATGATGCTGATTGCATTCCTTGTTTTTGCATCAGGAGAAGCCATGGGCGATGCACTTGTTGGCCATTGCTTGTTTGACTCTTGCGGCCAAGATGGAAGAGACTGAAGTTCTTCTAATCCAAGATATTTTGGTGAAGATGTGATGAAGTTTCTTTAACTTTACCTCTGTCAGAAGTTTTTCCGCTGTTTCATTTCCCGAAAATTTGTTCAAGATGATGATCGCATTTACTGGCAGGTTGGTGATTCGAAATCATTTAAGGCGAAACATGTTCAAAGAATGGAGTTGCTTGTGCTGGGGGAGCTGAAATGGAGAATGCAAGCAGTCACTCCGTTCTCATTCCTGGACTGTTTCCTTGAGAAGATAGGTGGTGGTGATCGAAGTAGCTCAAGTTCTTCAATTACTAGAGCGACGCAGCTCATATTAGGCACATTTAAAGGTCCTATAACTAAGTGCGCTTAAACAAAATTGATCATCGTTGATTAATTTGGTTGAAAAGAAAGATGGCTAATAGTTGGGTGGGTGGAAATTGAATGCAGGGATTGATTTCTTGGAATACAGGCCATCTGAAATTGCTGCAGCAGTGGCAATTTCTGTTGCAGGAGAAGCTCAAGCAGTGGATATTGAGACAGCAATATCTGCTCTTCTAATTCAGCATGTACAAAAGGTAAATACTGTGGTCCAAGGAGGAGGAGTAGGGGAGACATATAAATGATGCATCATCTACTTTTAGTGTTTCATCTTATCATTTTAGCCTAACAACCATTCATATTTCCTCCTAATCTAAACATTATTATCTTTTTGGCTTTTTTATAAATGGCAATATTGCAGGACAGAGTGATCAAGTGTGTGGAATTGTTAAAAGAGGTGTCATCATTAGGAGATTTCCCAAGTGCCTCGGCTCCATCTGTGCCCCAAAGTCCCATTGGTGTGCTGGATGCTGCATGCTTCAGTTGTAAAACTGATGATGCAGCAGTTGGGTCATGTGCAAACTCTTCTCATACGAGTCCAGTAGCCAAGAAGAGGAGGCTTGAGGACCTATAAGCCAAAAAAAAATTGAGGTCTTTGAAAAAATGGGATTATTGGTGTGGTGGTTTTTCTTTGTTTTTGGGAAGGTACTTCTCCTCAAAACAGAACAGCCACTAATAAAAAAGAAAACAGATGGAAAAGAACAATTGGGAGGAAGGAGGGGGGAGGGAGGGAACAGTCAGAAATATTAAAGTAGTGTTGTAGAAGAGATTTAAATTATAAGTTTGCTTCTTTGGTGGTGGGAGATGTAAGTTGATTTGCAAAAGGTTCCTGCAGGATTGGAGAAGTGCAGAGTTGCTCATGAATTGCGAGACTTCTTCACAGCTAGAGAAGGCAAAAAGGTTTTGCAAGATAGGAGAAAAGTGTTTATAGAATATATATGTTTTTTTTTTTTAAAAAAGGTTATCCAGTTAAGATTGGATTTTTCTATTTGTTTCTCTGGTTTGTTTTCTATAGGACCAAACAAAAAGGGGAAGAAAAAAAAACGAATATGAGAGAGATTTGGGGAAAAAAATTTGGGCTTGCCAAATATTTATTGTTATCTTCGAATCATTGTTCATTAAATGCCTTGTAAATTAATACTAGTGTTTATTTGGTGCCTTGAAGTATGGAAGGGTAAACAGTTTACCTTCTTTTTTTTTTTTTTAGAGATAACTGTTGTATAACCTAATCTATCCTACATTGAGGGGAGGGACGGATCTAAAGAAATACATGAATAATTCGAAGGGAATTGAATCACCACCGAACCATTCCACCAAACTTTAATGCTAAACTTTAATGCTTTGGTGCTGGCCGGTGGTAGACAATTTACCTTCTGAGTGAAAGAAATTGTAACATTATTTATGGATGGCCCTTTTTAAGATGGATGGATATATTAAGTGCGTATTATATGGTACTTACTAGTTTGCTATGCAGAAAAATCCTAAGTTTTAGTTTTGATCTTTTAATAATAATCTTGGCTTAGAAGGCACATGTAAACACCGGTTGTTTTGACTGTGTGTCTGGTTGGACTGGTGGGCCATGCTGCTGCTGCTCTCTCTCACTAGTTACTAGTTACTTAGTTAGTTTGTGGAAAATCGATGCCCAAATTTCTTGACTGATATTGACAGCCCATCATAATGATAATGATAATGAGCCAATAAACTTGTTTAGCACTTAATCACATCCCTTTGTCTTTTCAACCAAAAAAAAACTTCTGAACCCGCTGATTTTCCCTTTCGGTTTTGTCATGCTTTTGTTTGTCTTGGTGCTTCCGGGTGGGGAAAGAAGTATAAAAATTTTTACCCAAAAAAGAGAGTAAATCCTATGTACACTGACAGTGTACACATTATCACGGTTGGATGTACGACACGTATGTAAATTTTGGATTTTAAATTTAAATTCGAATTATGTGTCATGTATCAAACGGTAAAAGTGTATATACTGTCAGTGTATAGAAGATTAATTCAAAAGAAATCCAAATATTAGGTTAGGCAAAGTGTTTTTAGAATCCATAGGCTTAGCTTCTAGTATTTCCAAGAAATGAATAAATACCAGTGTACAATTTTTTTTTCTTTTTACGCAGAGTGGGTTTAAATCATGTTGTATAATAGTATAAATTTAAATTTAAGATTCAAATCATGCACGTGTGACGTAAATTCATAATTATTAGTATAAAAAAAAATCACTACGTTGTTAATGTATAAAAAGTTAATTCGAAAAGCTATGGACAAATGAAATGTATGGATAATTTATCTCCCTTCGTGACACAACCTTTGTGCAGATTCGAATCCTCAGTTAAACGTGATACTCCACTTGGGATAGGAATTTCCGAAAGAGACCACCGGAGTCGTGTCATCCACATGTATTACGAGTCACCACTCGCAATTGTCTTGATTCATTTTCTAAGCCTATTTTCTGTTTTTTATTTCTTGCTTATCTAAAATTTGTGATTAGTTCGTTTGTATGTCTATTGAGATAGAAGGCCACACAAAAGGTTCAATTTCAGAAAGAAAAAAAAAACTTTATTTGGATTGCCATTTTTCTTTAAACAATTTTTACGTTTGTCTTGAATACATTTTTCAATCTTTTTTTTACCTCACACGTATCAAAGTCGTTATAATATATTTTTCTACAGAAAAATTACTCCAAAACACAAGAATCCAAACGGGTTTGGAAAAAACTTTACCTCCTTAGCAATGATGCAAAACGCTTAGATGCTAACATACTAACTAAAACCAAAAATGCTAATGATGTGAAATAAATTCTCACATTTAATAAACACAGTAAACTGTAAATTCAGAAAGCACATTTATACGTTGGATTGGAATGAATGAGAACAAATTTCAAAAGAAGATTTTTTTTTTTATTTTTTAATGTCAACTACTCATTTAGATGAAAATGTGATCTAGTTCTCTTGTTTAACATGATATATAAGTTTTAAATTAATCAGCATCTAAGTATGGTGTGTGTCAATACTCCTACTCCTACTACTGGAAGAGATGTAACACAAGCTTGGGACCTTGGGACCTTGGAGATATAAAACAATAATGATGCTCATAAATTCAATAATCAGATTGTGTCAGTTTGTGCAAGTACAGCCTACAGTACCTGTTTAGTTTTCTGTTTATATCTGCCTTTTCTTGGATCTTTCAATTCATTTGAGCGCAAAATGAGCTTTGAGTTCATCAGAAAGAAAACTCAAAGGCCTTGCCAACTAATTACTGGTTCTGAGTTGAATAAAATGAAAATTTTTTTTGTCGACACAGGGTTGTCCGGATCAATCCTTACGAGGCTCGATTAATTCCCTGTGGCCCGGATCCGACGCCCCAACCAAGCCCAGGCACGATATTTGCGCGGAGGAATCAAGCAGAGCAGAGATTCGAACTTGGACCTAGTGAGAGTTGAATAAGATGAAATAACAGCAATAAAATTGTCATCGTTGTTGATGTGTTTAATCAGTGATCGATTGGACCTCAACCTAAAGCGCGTTGGGTTACATGGAACACAAGAAATTGATTTATCGACCTTTGCTTTTCCATCAGATAGGTGCAACTCTTTTGTGTTTATTTTGCACACCAGAAAACGTACTAGGAGTTAAATGCTCTCCAAAATGTTGCAGAAAGACAAATACCCATGCATTAATATTGAAATGCTTTCATAAATGCAAGAGTAGTATTTTAAAACTTGTACGATGTGGAACATACTAAGCAAACATAAAAAGTCTCTTGCATCAAAGCTCTGAATGATGGCGAATGTTCAAAGGTTACATTTATTTGGTCACGAAATTTGAGTGCTCTGAGAATTGAGAGACCAGCTGTTGTGTTTCTGAGTGTCCTTTATATTTTCGTTTGAATACACGGGACCCTAGGTCTCAAGTAAAATAGGGAGGAGTAAGGTAGATGATAAATAAACAAAACTAGTGGCTGGTAATAAGTCATAGCTGAGATGGCATCGACTGTTTCAATATTTTATTTTTGGTTGAAGACTTGAAGTTTGGGGTTAGAATTGACAGTACATCGGTACATCACAAAGCATTTAATGTTGAATATCGTGCACCATGTCCCATTAAAGACAGAGGCAGAAAGTTATAGTAGTATTGCCAAGCTTACAATTTCCAATAGACTTACCAAAGAATCTTCTTTCTTTTTTTTTTTTTTTGGTTTCATTGTGTGAGTGTGAGTGTATGTGTATGAATGAACATTGTGATCTTTGGAAAGCATAATTCAACATTATCAAATAAAATTAAGTCGTACTCTTTGTTTCATAAAGAAAAACATCGAACTATTGGTTAATCACGGATAGCATATATTAGCATCTTTAAAAAATATGGTTGTAAATGAGTCAAATCGCTCGTGAGTCGGTTCAATCAAATCTCGACTTGAACTCGTCAATATTGAACTCAAGTCGAGATTGAAACAATCAAGTCGAGGTCGAGCATAGAAAAACTTATAACTTGTTAACTCGCAAGTGGCTTAATTTTATATATATATATATATATATATATATATATATACGCACACACACAAACACACACTCACACTTTTTTTTATTTTAACAATGTAATTACATATATATCCCTGATATTTTGTTATTTGTTAAGAAAAAATTACTATTTTATTTATTTTTAAAAAAACCAAATAATTATTTTTTATTTTTTTAAGTTCAAAGAGACTCGAACTCGACTTGACTCAAATTTGAGATCAATCTTGAACTCAAACTTTACATTAATAACTCGTCGAACTCAAACTCAAATTTGATAAAATTGAGTCAAGACTCGACTTGATAGGCCAAATCTCGACTCAACTCGACTCATTTGCAGTCCCATAAGAAAATTTTACTATAATCAATCAAACCATTTTATTGAGTAGGCATATTAGCTCACATTATACTTTTTCCTTTTTGTTAAGAAAAATGTTTTATATATTGAATTTGGAAATTTTATATTATTATTTAGTATTTTAGAAGCACACTTTAGCAAAAAGGAACAAAGCTCCTTGGGGTTTTGCTTAGTTTCTTTATATCTAATCATGATTTTTTAGTCAAGAAAACATCATCTTATTGTTTCTGTTCCCGCACAAAAATACCTGTAAGCCAATTTAAGATAGCATGTAGTTAGACATGTTAATAGGCCGAATCTTACCAAACTTAACCCAGACCCATTATATTTTTATGGATTAATGGGTTGAATCTTACCAGACTTAACTCAAACCCATTATATTTTTATGGATTTGGATTAAAATTTTTAAATTTCGATCCTACCTAGATCCAAATCCTGCAAAAGAATCATGGATTTAGTAGAATCTTAGTAATTAAATGTTAATATTTCATACCTTTTAGTTCATAATTCTTGCATACAACATTCTTGAATGTTAACTTAAGTGTGTTTGGATAGAAATTTATTTAAATAATTTTTTGACCAAATACTGTGACATTTTTTGTGATGTATATTAAATTAAAAAATATTATTGAAAAATATGTCTATAATACAATCAAATAATTTTTTTTGTAAATAAGAAACTATCCAAACATGCTCATATTATTTGAAATGGGTAATTAGATTATGTTTATGTTATTTTTGAAATTCATAATTTTATTATATTTAAAATTTTCATTTTAATTATACATTGTAACAATATCCATAAATACCAATTAGATACCCAAACCTATGAAGCTCTAGGTTTGGATCAGAATTTTCTTTTTAAAACTTATGAGGACTTGGTCTAAATTTGGATTTGAGTAAATTTAGTGGCTTTCGATTTAGGATGAATCTAGTGGATTTAATATGGGTTTTTTTTTTCTTTTGTGTAAGTGAGAGGTCTGGAATTACAGACCCCTCACTTACACTCCTTGCCCCTATATTGAAAAAAATTTAGGATCTTATGAGTTTCCAAACTATACTAATTCTCTCCGGATATTGATCAAAATTCCTAAGTACTGATAAAGATTAAAATTGTAATATGGAGAGAATTGATAAACTTTAGAAGCTGAGAAGATCCTTAGTCTTTTTTTTTTTTTTTTCAATGAATGCCAAATATTGTGAGATATTTTTTCGGTTGAAAACCTAAGCGTACT